TCCACCGTTTCCCTTGTACCAGGGCTAGCGTTCGTGGGAACCGACAGCCTGAAAACAAGCCTTTTCCTCTTTTCTTCTGGCAAGTTAGCTTTCAGCCAGACCAGTTCCTTGATCTGATTCACCACATGAGAGCTAGTCCCAGCGTAAGAGTAGTGCTGGAAATGAAGGTTGGGCAGAGCAGCCCTTTACAGCAAAACCTCTGGCGTAGACTTGAGTTAAACCGCTCAGTCGGTATCAGGGCGAAGCGGGGTATCTGTGTGCTCCAGGAGCAAAACGCTTGAGGGCAAACCACCTCTGTGTCATCACTTAAATGAAACTGAGCTCCCAGCGTAGCCCTAAATTAAAAACCATCCTCTGCGTAAGAGAAAAGGCAGAATACAGCTCATCGTGATTATTAATGATGTGTGTTCCTGAGCGGTCTCCTTGGTGAAGTGTTTTTGTTTGTGGAAGGTCGTTCTCTTTGTTTGAGATCTAGGGTGGCTCATATGCCCCCGCGGCCCCTCGTTGGGAAGGGAAGGTCATGAGATGTCCCTTTGCAGGGTAGACTGGTGTCCTCTGCGTAGCCCTCTCTGAATGTGTCACACCACAGCGTTTGCCCTGGAAGTTTCCGTGCAGGTTAAGTTTAGATGCTGAAGTACCTCCAACTCCACCCACTCCAGAAGTTTCTGACATCATCAGTCTAGAAGTTGGGTGGAGGGCTGTGTGTGAGGGATCTGCTATTTAATCGGGTATCGTGTTATCAGTCAAAAAAACTAAACACTTAATCATTTGTCTTCAGTGTTCAGAATAAACTTTCACTTTCCCTGTAGCATCACCTGATGAGTAAACATCAGAGCCCTTAATCCCTCTGTAATTTCATCAGATAAATGGTATTTTATTGGCCTTTCTGGATGTTGAAGGCTGTTAAAATAGTAAAAAACATTAGAAATTAACAAACCAGAACAAACAGGAGGCCTGATCTTATCGGCATCTTTAATTTTGTGCCTAAACTTGGAATTGCCTGTTGGTGGGTTGATCCCTGAAAGTCTCCCAATTTTGTGTTACTGAAGCAAATCCAATAATTTCTGTCATTCAGTAGAAACCCAGTGGAGCATCTCTGGACTTCATTGACACATGTCTCTGAGACAGGGACAACCCAAACCTAACGCCTGTGTTGCGTGAGCTGCTCAGAGTAGCCAGGTCAGGTTAGGAGGAGTTCATGATTTAGCTTGTGTGGTGTGTTTTTCTGTCCACACTGGGATTGTCTTAGTCTCTTCCTGCATTAGAGGATCATGGACTAGAGAATTATTTCACAAACGGTTTTACAAAGAAAGGATTTACTGGTTATTGTAGCCCTGTCCAGGTTGAACAGCTAATACTCCCTAAATTTGGTTGTAACTCTAGGTACTGCTTTTTAAATTCTTTTGCCAGAATCTTGGTGAGTGGGGTTAGTTTTCTTTTCTTTTTCCATTGTGCCGGTGGTATTTTTGTGGATCCTTTGGCATCATGTCCCATATTTACCTTAGAATTTTGATTCTTTTTTAATACTTAATTTCTGTGTGTTTGAGTTGCGTTAATTTTGGAAGCTCTCCTACCCCTTGTAAAAGAGCTGTACTTACAAACATTCCTTCATGCGCTCCTGTTTGCACAGATAACTACGGAAAATGAATTTCTGCCTGGTTAACGCTGGGGTTTTTTATTACATCGGGCCGTCACATACGTGGATTGTTGGTTGGATTCCAGCCCTTTCGGTTGGATTCATATGAAGACAGTAAGGTGTGGTACCACACAGCGAGAAGCAGTCAGAAGAGGAAGTTGAACCCTTGCCAAGACCAGAGCCCTTCTTCCTTTTACCCGTGTGTCGGGTTCGAGCCTTTTTTACCGTATCTGCTCTCGACGTGCCGCGTCGTGCGACGTTTTTCCTTCACGTGTCTCACGTCCCCAGTTTCAGTAGAGCTACTTGTGTGGAGCTTGCAGGGGGTGATGGAGCGGCCACTCTTCAGTCCTTTCCGTTCCCAAAATCTGTAACAGCATTTCTTAACTTTAATAACTTCAGGTTTGTCAGGTTTAACCCTGTCTGTTGTCCTTCTGAACAGAAGTCGGTGAAGTAACACCGAATGACACGACCATCCTCTGTCCGGCCATACCCCAGGGATTAGTCAGTGTGTTTGTCTGCCTCGGTTTTGTTTGTTTTTAATATTCTTAATATGCTGTAAGCCAGCATCCGTTCGGGTTAGTGGCTGCTCTCAAATTGACTTCAGAGGGAGCAGAATTAGACGTTTGTTAAAAATAACAACGCTTGATTTTGTTTGGACGGTTGTCTTTTAGGTGGGAAGGGAATATGTTTTGAAATCGGTGAAAGCTGTGCGCTTCCTTGTACGAAGATGCAATCTAGCCTCTATATATTTTTTGAGCATGTCATCACAAGATGGAGTTGCAGCTGTCTTGTTCTCATTTTTTGCTCTGTTATGTTCTTCTCATCTGATTAAAAATAGCCCAAGAGGAATCAGTCTTGACTGAGCACTTCCTCTTTCAAAGTACAGAGATTTTTTTTTTAAGTTGCATTAAATCGTTTATAAGGACATGCAAATTAGGAGCAGCATTTTTTGCTGTACGCAACTCACTGTATTTTTCTTACGATTATTGGCATGCCGCACGTTTCCTGTATCGGGTGGTTAAACAGATTTATTGGGAATTTGCGAAAGTTCATAGTATAGGAAATGATGTAATTTGAACACTGGCATTACTAATTTTCTCTGTGTCTGGCGTATTTTTGCATTTATAGAGTTCTCTTTAAGCTTTAAGTCCGCTGTGATTTTTGTTTCTGAGGAAGAGGCTGCCGTGCCTGTGGAAAACGCGGCACAGGACTGATCCTGCTTTAACCCGTGTGGGAGAGACTTGATGGCACAACCACAACGTCCTTGCTTTTGATTCAGAATCAAAAGCCAGATCCAGGTTTTGTGCTTGGCTTCTATCTACTAGGAGTTGACTTAGACAAAGGTGGTGAATCTCTGTGCTCAATTTCATTTTGAAGAGGTTTGGAATTTGACTACCAGTTGGGCTCTTGGGCCAGATCCACACCGTCACCAGTGGCTACTACAACACACAGATGGAAGCCTTGATGCCATTGTGTCCTTGGGAGCTGATTACCTGCTGGCTGTGATGTCAGAGCGTGGATTAGAAGGATGACGTGAGCTGCCCGAAGCAAAGTAGCATTTCACTTCTGATCACCCCTTCTCCAAAGTGCAATCTAGAGAACGCACTTTTCTTTTTTCCTTCTTTAAATCAATCTGTATCAAGAGGCAGTTGGGCTGCAGAGTCTGCCAAAGCTGAGTTAGCCTGAACAGCTGTATATTCCAAACCTGTTTTCTAAAGATCCTCTTTTATTAAGTTAGCAGGTCAGCTAATGAAGTACCTTAAATTATAAAACTTTGCTCTGCATACCTGGTAATACAGTCAGCCACCAACCTGCAAGGTGCGTGCTGGCAGAACTCCCCTGGGCACCAGCATTTCTGAAGTTATGGATGTAGTTGCTGCTTAGTTTTGTGCTTGCTGATGTATTTGTCTTGAAATATTGCAGTTCATGGACTTATAAAAGGGAAAGGTGATTTGACGACTTTTTACAGTAGAGACCAGCAGAAACTGAGATATTTGGAGCACAAGAAAGACTAAAAATGCCAGTGGAAAGTATTCTGAGCTTAGTACACTTACTATTTCACACTATCAAAAGGTGAAAGGAACAAATCATTCAAGTGGGCATTGTGGAATCCCACTCGTGGCAGGGTGTAGACCAGCCCAGTGATAGATGTTAAAGGTCAGAGCATTGCAGTCTAATCAGTACAGTGCGATCCCCAGACTTCTTATCGCGGGCACGTTTCATCTTTTCTTCTTGCAAAGAAGCCTTTGAAAGGGCAGGGGAAGGAGTGAACCTGAGAGGTGGTGATCTGTTGACGTGGCACACGTTCACTTCAGATAATTGTGAGGAGTAGCTGACTATGCTGAACTGCTGCTCTGAACAATTTTGGAAAAGAGCGCCACTTGAAATGATTTTAATTATCAGTACTTAAAGGAAATTAAATCAGTTCCTCATTTTGCTAGCATTGAATGTCGATGTAGTAGTTAATGTCAGACATTAAAGGAAAGCATCAAATTCAGAGAGGGCTCCTTTTCCTGGAATCACTCATTAAGCTAGGAGTACATGAAATATTCAGTAATGGTATCCCAGGTCCCATGTCTCGAAATTAAAATAAGTGAAAGAGCAAACAAAACTGAAATGCCGAGCTTGCATTACTGTGTTCTACACTGGGAGGAATACCTAAGGAATATGTAAGGAAATACGTAGGGAAACGGATCCTTTCCAGCAAGGGTTTGCTGCTTGTATTACCAAATTATATCATAATGACACCACTGATCACTACTCTCAAAGGTACTGAAGTGGCACAGATGTTGGGGGAGGACATGGTTTGTGTTGTTTCGGCTTCATTCTCGCCCCAAGAACTGCCTTCTGATTGTTTTTCCATCTCAGTTTCTAGAGGAAAATAATGATATCATGTAGAAGTCTCTCACTGTTAGTGAGCTAACTCTGTCACAGCTGAAACCAGGACAACGTCCTAGGACTTATGTGTATGGAAAGATGTCTCTTCACCAGTGGCATTCATTTTGTAAATTTTATCATGCACGAACAAGAGAGAAACGTGTCCAGGGAATGAATTTCAAACTATAAATACATGAAGCTGTTCTGGAAGGCAAGGTGAGGAAACCAGACACAAGAAGCAGCAGGAGAACTAGGGCAGTTTAGCCGCCTTTGAAGGGAAAGCGTCAAAGGCTTCTGGATCATTTATTGTGTACGAGGAATTTATTCATGCAGCCCCTGTAAAGCTAGCAGGGACTATGGGCACGTTTCGTCTGCCTTGGCAACATCATCTTTTTTACTGGTGGACATTTGGGCCCAGTTTGTTAAAGAATTACTGCTGATTTTGTTGACTAATCCTCAGTCTTGTCTTGTCTTTTCTCCTGTTCAGTGCCTGAAGAACAGCTGCACAACATCGATGAGTATGATCTCAATGTTGTCCGCCTCTGCTTCCAAGCTTTCCTCCCCGATGAACACGGCAACTACACGTTAGCTCTTCCTCCTTTGATTTCCAACCCCATCTATGACAACAGTAAGTACCAACTCAGTCAAACGTGTATTTTTATTTATTTTATTTTCCTCTTTTTGCTTGAGATGAAAAATGTCAGGCCAGTTTCTGAGGTCTGGGCTGGTCCTCTGGGTCACTTTGGTGCCTCGAGACGGTTTGATGCATGCCTAACACATGGCAAGTCAGTGAGCATATACACAAAAGGTGATCCCAGGGTGAAGTGTTGGCCCACCAGAGTAAGAATTGCCCGCTGCATCCATGGACTCATGCACGGATGCTTTCTCAGCCCGTGTTTGCATGTCACAGCTTTGATTCCAAGGAAAGGCCTGCTTCTGATGTGGCAAGCAATTAAAATAAATAGTGGGGAAATGGATGACTGCCTTAAGACTGATCTGTTTTGCAAGGATGTCCTCTGAAGCCTGTTTGTACCATGAGGAGTCTTGCCTTTGCCTTGTGAGGGCTCTGGAACAGGACTCTCTCTTGAGATTTATCCTGGTGGGGAAACTGTCTTAATGCCATTATCTATCCCTTTTGTATCCCAGTCGGTTGCTGTTTTCACTGTATAGGTAGGTAACTGAGGGAGTGTTTGTTCATGCTCTGGGAGGGTGCAGAAGTATGTGGAACACCCCTTCTTGGCACCGTTTTCCACATTCCACAGCACTGGACTTGGCATGGCTTTGGCAGGTCGCTGCAGTTGAGGATTTCAGCCCTCAACGTGCGCTGGGCTTCTCTGCCGGAGAAAAATGGCAGAAGAGCTTTTACTCCTTGAAAACTTTCTGGCAGTGGTTTTATTTCTGCAGTGGAATTATTTCCGTGCTAAATATTTAAGATCAGGGGACACTACTTCAGCTGAAACTAGCAAGTAAAATGAGGTCTGCGTTTTATAAAGTTGATGTTAGAATTGTGTTGTTGTGGGCATAACCGTTATGAGAACGTTGACTATGAACTCTGGTGTGTTTGATATTTTTAGAGTCTCTTCTAGAATTATCTAGAAGTTGGAACTGTGTCCATTGTGTTACTGACAGCCCTTAACCCTAATGACTTTAGTACTTCGAGAACTGTGTCCATTGTGTTACTGACAGCCCTTGAAGTACTAAAGTCATTAGGGTTGGGATAAAATTGATGTAGAAGGTTTGCAGCGATGTCTCAGATGCCATTTAGAAATATGCCAAATCACGATTACTCGTCTACGTTGATTGACGTCAGTCTTTGCTGAGCTGCTGAAATGACAGAGAGCTGTGTGGTGGGGGAAGCTTGGTTTTTTTAGTGTGGGTGTACGTGGGCAGCTTCTGGTACACTATAGGTATGTAAGATCCTCCGTGTAACGTAGCAGCGGTGTAAATAAAACAGTGCGTAACTGCAGCCACAACTCAGAAAAATTATGCTGCTCTTTGTCTGGGACAGAAGTTTCAGATCTGAATTTCTTTTAAGAAAACGTTAGGCTGCTTAAACAACGTGCTCCATCATACAGAGCTGCGTAAGGTCAGGTTATAACTTCAGGTAACAAATAAAATTGTACGGTAAACCGGGCTTGGAAATCTTAGGTTGTTAATGTTTCAAGCTTTTGCAGATCAGTCCACATCAGGAGCAAAAAAGTATTCAGAGCTGCTCTGAAAATCAGCTTTGCACATTTTAAATCTAGTATTTTCTTCACTTTCTAACATTTTGTAGTCTCCACTTGCTTTAGATAGTAGAGATACATAAGAATAGCGTGAACATACTAGGGAGGCAATCACATAAGCAGAGACTGCAGGTGTACAAAATTCAGCAGTACAGGCAGCTTCTGTTTCCAGTTGCTTACAATGTTAACTGGTTTTGAGCAGAAATTTCCCAAGCTGTGTGTCTCACCACGCTGAAAACTCTTGGGAGGAGTCAGATAGAGCCGCTTCACCCTTCCTGAGAAGTGAGGTTAGGGAGGACGTGGTGTCCTGCCCTTGTTGAAAGCCACGTGGGTTTTGGTGAGGAACTCGTTTTTCTAGGAGTTTGTTACCAGGGATGTGCTCTTGGGGAGCAAGGAACAGGAGTGGAGGTGAGGGCTTACATAGGGGAAGAGAGATGGGAGCAGCACAGCATGACAGAGGCCGCAGGGAACGTCTCCCTCTGAGGCTGGTGCCGAATTTAGCGTTCCTGCACAGCACCAGAGCTGACAGCAGAGTGGTGTGTCCCCGTCTGCTGGTGTTCGTGTTTCTTGCCTTTGTCTTCCCTTCTAAATTCTTTGTCTAAAGACAAACCAACACACTCCAGCCTAGGAGACCTGCCCAAAAACCTGTTAAAAGGACAGCCAGTGCCAGTCGAGCATACAGAAGTGAAACAAAGGTAAAATTAGGCTTCTCCTTGCAATTCTTAATTTACCTTTCCTGTGAAAAAGAGACGATGACACTGTCAATCATATGATCCTGTGCTGTTTCTGGGTTTGTTTTGTTTCCCCTCCCTTCAAAGTTTCTGATTCATTCAGCAAATGAAGTGGCGTGCGTCATGTAGTAAATGAGGCTGTAGTACCCACTTTTCCTAATAATGGTAATAATAGAGCTGCAGATAGTAACTACGTAACTGGGGTCTGGCCTGAGGTTTCAAGGAGCTGTTTTAAGCGTAGTTCGTGTTGTGCTGCAGCCTACCTGTATGGTACCATGAAAGATTGGGCAGGAATTGACTCAAACTGAGACTCTGAAGTAGACTTAAAAAAAAAAAAAAAATATTTTTTTTTGAGGGTGACACCATGAGCTTTGGTTTTGTATTTCATCTCTGTGCTGGGAACAGGGAGCCCGTGGTGGTGCAGACTTGTGTTGCTGTGGCAGTAGGAGGATCAGTTTCCGAGTCGCAAAGTGGCACCAGCCGGATCCTCCCAGGCGTTTTGGAGTTGATGTCTTGACATAAGAAGTTGAGAGAACATCACGGCACGGTGTAGTTTCCTTCCGTTGGGATTGGAGGGGTGGAAGAGGGTGCAATAAACAATGGATATGGTCACAGACAGTAGCAGAGAAATGAGCATCAGTTACTTCGTACGTTAAACAGAGATGAGGTCCTAAAATTGGTATATGCTCATGTACTTAAAAGTATCAACACCAGCATGTAGGCCCAGGGGGTGAACCTGCAATTCTAGAGAGAGTTCTTCCATTCTGGCTTCCGTTTGTTCTTTCTCACTTCTGAGTCACTACATTGTGACATTAGTGCCCTTTTAAGTAAACTGTAACACAGCCCACGAAGCTCCAAGGGGGCTGTTGTTCCTTGCAGCAGTCTCTCCTGTCCATATTTACCCTGCAGGAAAGCTGCTGCTACTGAATGGGGCCAGGCACCGTCAGGCAGTGCTTGTCCCCATCCCACCGGAGTCCCTTGTAGCCATCAGGTTGTTGGGATGCAGCGTGCAGACTTGGGGGGCGGTTAATTTATCGCGACGTAGAACACTATGTGTGATTGTGCAGAGGGCAGCTCTCCATCCTCAACTATTAGGAATGCTGTCTGCGTACAGCCACAGCTTGGGCTTGAATTTTGAGCATTTTGGGGTGAAATCTGTAAAGCCGTGAAAGTTGGACTCCTAGACCTGTTCTCAAACCCCCAGAGAGGGTAACAGAGGAGAGGCTCGATGGCCAAATATGTCTGTGAATAAAACTACAACCAGATACTGAGAGAGGGGAATTTTCTTGACTTGCCAGCCCAGCTTTTTCCAGAGAAGTACGACACTAACAGGTAATCAGTCGCTCAGAGAGCCGCTTTGAATTCTACAGCTTGATGACAGCAGTGCTGAGCACAGTGATGTCATTCAGGGAGGTATTTCGAGAGTACTCGAGAATAGATAGGGAAGGGCGCAGTCTTGTGTTGGAGATGAGTGGTTGGGAGCTGTAGGATCATGGAACATCAAGCCCTGCTTCTGAATTTCTTATGTGGACCGACTTGTTTAGTGTGGATTTTGGGGTGTGTCATGTTCCTCCAGCTGTTGCCTTCGCTCCTCCAGCTGTTGCCTTCGCTCCTCCAGCTGTTGCCTTCGCTCCTCCAGCTGTTGCCTTCGCTCCATATGCCTCAACTCCCAGCACCTCGTCTTCAATAGCGACAAAGTTACAGTAATTCTTTGTCATCGGATTTGCCTGTTCCTTTCCAGGAGCTCCCAATACAGCAGAATTGAGAATCTGTCGCGTAAACAAGAACTGTGGAAGTGTAAAAGGAGGAGATGAAATATTTCTACTGTGTGACAAAGTTCAGAAAGGTAACCTTGACTGGGTTTTTTCTTTCTCTTTGTCCCAAATGGCCGACGCTCCCACTTCCTAGCTGGGGAACTGAAGCCCTTCACCGCACTCCTGACTAAGTGGTCTGGTTTTGTAGCTGCGTAAAATCGATTTCAGGTTCAAGGACTCTCAGCACTTCTGAAAGATACTCTGTGCCATTTACTTTGTATCTGAATTCTGAGTCAGGCTCCTTCCTTTGTTCCCCTTCCCCTTATTTTCTGCCCCAAGTTTTCAGTTCTTCAGCTTAACGAGCATCTTCTGTTTCTAACGGACTAGATGATATAGAAGTCAGGTTTGTCTTGGACAACTGGGAGGCCAAAGGTTCCTTCTCACAAGCTGACGTTCACCGTCAAGTTGCAATCGTGTTCAGAACGCCGCCGTTTCTCAAAGACATCACCGAGCCCGTCACGGTGAAGATGCAGCTGCGAAGACCTTCAGACCAGGAAGTCAGTGAACCTATGGATTTCCGATACCTGCCAGATGAAAAGGGTATGGTTCCAATTAGTTGAGTTTCTTAAAAGCCATTACCAGTGCAGAACTCAGGTTGATGATAAACAGGAGCTTAATTAGTAAAAATTCTACAACGCTGCTTCTACAAAGTAGATTTTTGGGTTTTAAAACTAACAATAGTCAGTTTCCTCCTTCTTTCAGTGAAAATATCAAGAATCAGGGTTAATAACACTGTCTTGGTTTGTTAGTGCTGTCATGTCTGAGAAGTTTTGCTTTAAATGTATCTTACTACAATGAGGTGCCACTAGTGTAAGTTTTAGAAAGTTCCTTTACTAATTACAGCAAAGAGCAACATTAAGACTTTCCCTTTCCGCTCCTTTCTCTGCAGATCCATATGGCAACAAAGCAAAAAGGCAAAGATCAACGTTGGCTTGGCAAAAGCTCATACAGGACTGTGGTAAGGCAAATATTTGTCTTTTTCTTGTTTGAGTGAACTTATATTTAGATGGAGTTACTTTATATAAAAACAAACATTCAGTGTAGACTCCTGCTTTCTTCTGTGGCAGGATCAAATGTGACCGAGAGGCCCAAAGTAGCTCCATTCTCCGCTGTCGCTCCTGAAGGGAAGCTGATTAAGAAAGGTGGGTTTTTGCGTGCGTGTCGCGGTCCGGCAGCGGTCTGAAACAAGTAGTGCCTGTTTGCTGTGGGGAAGGGCGTTTTGTCAAGGGGGCTCTGAAGTTCCCAAGGCAGCAGTAGTACCAGTCTCTTACTTTCCCTCCTCCAGATTCTTCTCAAAGCCTCAGGCGTGCTGCAACTTCCCCTTTGCACAGGAGAGGGCTGCGCCTTCGTCATCTTTAGTTTAGATAACTACCGGTTCTTCTCTGTGTTCAGATACTCAGCCCTTCCAATGTACACTCAGTTGCTGGCCTTCCCTCCTCTTTGCTTGAAATTCTGATATTCTCTTGAGGGTTTCTTCCTGTAAGATACTGGTACCGATACTGGTACTAAGATATTTAGACCACACAAACTAAAACCATCAGTTCCTTAAACGTAGTGTCACCTTCAGCGTTCTCCATGGAGGGGTGAGGTGGGTAGCTGTCCTGCTACTGCCCAGAAACCTGGGGTCCGCCCTGGGGAGCAGTTAAGCAAGTATGAGAGTGCAAATAGATGTATGATCTTACTGAGATAGCACCGGTTTTGCTTTGCTTTTTACCATTTGTAATTTAAAAAAAAAAAAAAGATTGAAAAGGGCACTAAAATGCAGTCACGTTCTTTCCTGTTCCGTAGAACCAAACATGTTTTCACCCTCCCTGATGATGCCAGGGTTGGGAACCCTGGCCACCAACCACATCTACCCTCCCTGCAACCAGATTCCCCACCAGCCCGTGCAGGTGGGGCCGGGGAAGCAGGACACGCTGTCCTCGTGCTGGCAGCAGCTGTACAGCGGCCCCTCGGTGGCCGGGGGCCTGCTCAACGCGCACCCGCAGAACAGCTTCGCGGCGGATGTGCCTCAGCCGGCCGCTCAGGGTGGCAGCTCCATCCCGACTTTCCACGACAACCCCCTGAACTGGCCCGATGAGAAGGATTCAGGCTTCTACCGGAATTTCGGCAGCGCCAACGGGATGGGAGCGGTGGCGGCGCCGGCCGCAGACATGCAGAGCGTTTCGAGTAACAGCGTGGCGCACCAGGCGCACGCCGTCAGCGTCTCCACGGCCAGCATCGTCAGCATGGAGACCGATGACATGAACTGCACTAGCGTAAACTTTGAGAAGTATAACCCCGTGTTAAACACCAGCAACCACAGGCAGCAGCTCCACCAGGTGCCTCCAGCGTGCCCGCCCGTAGCCGCCCCGGGCAGCGCGCCTTTTAACTCGCAGTCTAACTTAGCCGACCCCGCGGTTTACGGTTTTATAGACCAAGAAGTCTTAAGCGAATCGAGACTATCCACCAACCCCATCCCAAACCATCAGAATAGCATTGCAGATAACCAGTACTATGACACCGACGGTGTCCACGCTGATGAGCTCTACCAGTCTTTCCAATTCGATAACATATTACAAAGCTATAACCATTGAGCCGGCAGCGTCGGGCTGGAGGTGGGTCCGTAGAGCTTTCCAGCTGGCTAGTTGTGTGAACAGGAGTGACTTACCCTTCTGGAGTCCCTGCTTTCTCTTTCAGAATGTTACTAGGCAAGTTTCACCACCTAACTTAAGGTTATATATTACAGCCCAAAGACTGGTGCCTGTTAAGAAGAGAGGTGGGAGTAGGGTTTGGGGTTCTGTACCTTGGAAGTACCTCGTATACATATTTTTATGCTGTTGGAAAAGGGAACTGTTAACACTTGTGTCTTCCTTACCTTTTGGGTCTGTAAAAGTTGGCGTCTTCAGAAGGGTTAAAATTTCACATACTTGACAGGGTTAAAACTGTTTGAAAAAGAACTATTTTTGCTATGGAAATTACATTTAAATTTTGACAGGACAGAAATTAGGAAAACAACCTGCACGTGGGCACTCTTAGTTCAGACTCACCAAGCTTTACTCTACTTGAAAGGTTTCGCTTTCTTACCCTCTTTCGTACAAAACGTTCTTCTCCTAAAACAAGATCCCACATTGATTTTTCACAGTTTCACCGCACTCCATTTGCTTTGAAGGCAAATTTACTCTAAAAATTTTTTTTAATGACTATGTCATTGTGAGATGTATTTTAAAAGACCGGAAGGTTTGAATTTTTAATAGTCCAGCTCTGTTGTAAATGAACCACTGCACAAAAAAAAGAACAGAAAGTAAGGACTTTTCTGCACTTCATCCAAAGTGCACTATTTTTAAAGGACAAACCCCTGTTGCTTTAGGAATGGAGCACGCTGTTATTTCTCTGGAAGTTATTTTTTTGTGTGTGTGTGTAGCTGTTATTTTGAGCTGCAGAAATATGTTGAGCCAAAGCATCTGCCTATTCTTTCCTCAGGTATCCCGGCAGTTTCCTGCTGTGCAAGTGACTGCTTTGACAGAAGGCTCAGGTCCTGCCTCCCCACCACCCCCTCCCAGGAAGGCTGTGGGGCGAACGCGGAGGCAGGCTTAGCGCAGCTTCATCTAGGTGCGCTCTACTAACAACTTCAGGCCATCTCAGTCAGTACTAATTCCAAACACTCCTTTCTGCTCTCTGTCAGAAACCAGAACTTCCTCCTTTCCACTCGATTCCCAGTCTTCCTTCTTAGCTTGAATCGCGAGGTGGTCAGTGACGACTCGCGTGGATGGAACTGGCTGGGTAAGACACTCTACTCTGCATTATAGGGCTTTGCTATTTTGTTATTATTATTATTTTTTAAGAAGCAACACAGCAAGAAATGAGAGGGTATTTCTTAAGTTATACGGCCGTTTTGTATGGCAGATAGGGCTTAAGAATCTAATGGTTACTGTTTGGCAGCAGCAAACTGCAGCGTGGAAAGCAGCAATAAAAACAAAGCACACTCGGCTTGATAAAAAACCAAAAAACGCAACCCCGACTCAAAAAAGCCACTTGAGATGCGCAGTCATACACGGGGCAGAAGGGAGCTCCAGAAAACCTCTGTGGTTTGTAGGGAAGCAGCGACTCCTCGGCCGCGGTAACTCGCTGCGTTCGAGGCGCTGAGGTGCTGCTGCCGTAACGCGTCACACCACTGACACGGGTTTGACGGGACGCGCTCCGTAGACTATCTGTAGAACAGGTGAAGTTTGGAAAACTGCTTTCCCTCACTCCAGGTACACCAGGCAATGAATTGACTCGCCGTGTTTTAAAGCAGTTTCTCCTCACTTCTGCGTAACACCTGCCTTTTTCCGCAGCTCCTCTGCAGTCTCAAGTAATAGAAAGACCAAAGAGATCCAACGAAAGCTTGAAACGTGTTGTTTATTCAGTTCTTTTTTTGAAGTTCTCAGTTTTAAGTATATTAAATGTAAACATTTTACTCACTTCATAGAAAGCTCTTTATAGTACAATTTGTTTTTACTATATAATTAAATATTTTCAAAGTTCTGTTTTCCTTTGTAAACGAGTTGGTTTGGTAATTAAAAAACTGGTTATACTAAGTACTGCGCTTCTGCAACCTGCTCAGATTCATGCCATCCCTCACCACAGGAAAGCCAGAGAAATGGCAGAAGGTAGGTTATGGGTTGCTTCTCCTGGGGCTTTTTCAGTTATTTTCTGCTCGCAGTCACTGTTGGTGACTACAAAACCCAAAGCAACCTGTGCAGTGAGGGGTCACGGGCATTTTTTTGTGGCAGAGGGATTGACTTGGCAGTCGGGGGGCAGAGAGGACAGATGCTTTCATGCTCACCTAGAGCTGTGCTACCAGTACAGCTTCAGCTAAGCTGGTGCAAAAAAAACCCAAACATTGGGGGGTGTAATAGGTGACCAATTGTTGGGAGAAACACAACAGCTTAGTTCGAGTCCTTCCAGTGCAAAGAAGGATGGTGCTAAGGGACACCGGACCTTGCTTTTCAGTATTTTTCACATAATGTGCTAGAAAATATCTACCTCTTTCACACATGCCTCATGAACGAGATTAAGTCTTATTCTCACAAAACATCCTATTTGAGTACTCACAAGTAGGTATTTTTTAAAAATAAGATGAAGGCCAGAGTACAACATGAATATTATTGCTGCAATATTCATTACAGATTATGACAGTTCAAAGTGTATTAGAAACTGCAGACTTGAAACAAAGTTCAAAAAAAACAGATTACATCTCTCATTTTCCTGTTTTCACATGATCAACCGAACAACAACTGAAGAGCTGTAGAGATATTTGCATCATCAGTTTTTCTTTTCCCCCTCATTTGGATACTTCATATTTATCATAAAAACAAGCAGTGGGAATTTTTGGTGGATCTCTCCACATTGTATGGAGAAGAGATTAGACTCGGCATGTTTAGTGTAATATTTATACGTTAATCTTGTTTCCGTGCACTTTGATTCTTAACATCATCTCCACCTCTATTGCTCCCTTGGAACAGCTCTTCTCAGGTCTGCCATGTCCATAGTGTGGGCTTGTTTACTTTTCCTCCCCCTGTAGTTTATGGAATCTATAAATAATATTTTAGCTCACTTTTGAGTTTCAAGAAATCAGAGATACGAGACCGAAATGCTCTTTTGTTTGTTTTCTGAATTCAGTTTCTTAAGTTTTCCATCATTCATGGCACTTCCTTTCTGGGTACAGATTATTATCTGAAACAACTACTCCTGGAATCTATTGCTCATAACAGCTTTAAGATTAAAAACAAAAAAATACTGCCGTCTGAATCATGTTCCTATTATTTTTGTGTTAGAATTCTAAACAGGAGCTTCTGAACAACTGCCATACTTAGGTTACAATGCACTAGGAAAACAAATTACGAGAGACAAGTTTTGACAGCCCATCACAGGCAGAGTGTATAATATTTAGACTAATTTGTCAAGATCGGTTTTTAAGACCTCCTTGAAAATGTATTTATTAATGCCTTTTTGAGCCTTCAGCTCAAGTTAGCATGCAGCTGTTCCATTACGAGCTCCTGGCACCACTGCGTTGAAGGTAAGACATCTCAGTCATCTCCCCTGTCCCCAAACAGTGGTTTGTCTTGGCCAATACGACCCTCTCTGTTTCTGAAATGGTAATGAAGAGCCTTTAAACTCCAAACCTTAATTTCTTGTCCATATTTCAACTCTCTTCTGTACTTCAGGTAAGCAGAAGTGTCTTCCTAATGGATTAACATGATGCAGGCATAAAAGTGGCTTTTCCTAAAGCTGTAGGTGCTAGGGCCTGGCTGATAAAAATAATCCTGCAGCCCAGCCCCTGCTTTGTGTGAAACATTTACAGTAACACAAGCAAAAAAAAAAACACACCTCAGGTCTTCCCTATTCCAGGCAAGTTCCTAGACAATGTTCAACTCTTCCAAGCATCCATCCAAGGTTGGATACTAGGGGAAAAAAAAAAAAGTACTATGCTACAAATGAAAGCTTTTTGTCGCTGATTTGTTCTCTCAATACCAACATTCTTCAGTACATCTTACATTTGTCTGTACTTTGGGGTTCTTGGTATTCCTGTTTTTCTTTAGATTTCCATTGTACACTGCTGCCAGGAGTTCCCAATCTTTGTATACATGGTGATGCAACTGGGGAAATCCTATGCCTGAAGAGGACTTTAACAAGCCTACAGAGCTGCTGAGGCCTCAAGTACCTTAACTGTTGTTTTGTCAAAGCATTGCTGATGTTTTTTAAGTGCAAAGTTTTCTTCTGAAAACTTTTTCCCTTTGAAAAGTACTTGGTCTGGGAGCCAAATCTGTGCATCTCTAAAACTGACACTGGCCAAAAAAGCAGTTGGCTGAGAGCAGAGTGCTGCTGTGTTCCAGGCACTATCCTACTGGTTTCAGAGTCTCCCTGATTTTTGGGAAATAGTCCTGCACAAGTAGTGCTCAGAAAAAGGTGGGACTGGGTTTCAGGTAACCCACCGCTGCCTGCATCCAGACAAAAGCTGCAGCATCTGATATTAAAAAATTTTTAAAAAGTGGTTTCTTTTTAATGAAAACATTTTCAATTAGTGCAGAAAGCAGATGTGAGGTACTTGCTCAGTACACCATTCGCATGTGTTACACCATGTATCTTTTTCTTAGTGTGTTTTTTTTAAAAAGACTTGGTAATTTATCAATATGCTACCTTACTAAAACCTTTTTTATGCCCAGAAGAAATTAAATAAGGCTAGAGGAACACTACCTATTCCAGAATGTTTGAAGTTGATTCAAATAACAGTATCCTTTGGCAGATCAACATGATCCAAATGTTCAATGGGAATACTTTGCGATGCAGCTGTAACACTGCACGGTGTTCGGTAACCAGCTGCTGACAGAGTCGTTGCTTCTTCCTCATCCCAACTTGAAGAGTCAATTCTCCAGGGTTGGAGGCCAGTCAACGTCAACAGACTAGAAGAGCAGGGTGGGGGGGAAAAAAAAAGGCAAAATGAGCAGACTTGATATTTCTAATCTAGAAAGAGATGTGGTAGCAGCACTCTATGCTTGTCAGTTATAGGCTAATAGTGGAAAGAAACAAATGAAGGACACAGAGACGAGACGTG